ATAGATATGATAAAAGGAGATAAGATTGCAGTGGAAAAGGGCTTGGTTCAGACATGAGATAAAGGGTTGCTGTGACCTCTGAGCAGGGCTGGATATGCTGTTTGCAGAGGTTGGAAAAATGCCACCAGATGTCTCTGCAGCCTACAAAATGTGGCGAAGCTGCTGGGCAGACCAGCACCAGCACAGCCTGTCTTCCCTGCCTGTGCTCCTCAGTAAAGAGAGATTTCATGGAGAAAGAGAGGCTTGCAGACCCCAAATTAAACCTACAGGTAAGAACCATCCTCCTCCTCCCCAAATGCAAAGGTCCATGACCCTCATCCAAATCACAACTGGTTTCTCCCCAAGTGAGGGAGCCAGATTGGGACACAAAGGAACTTTTTCTTTCTGTGTTCGGGAAAGGCTGTCCCTGCAGCTTCATGGACAGAACAGGTCAAAGTTCTCCGGGCTCACTGTCACTTGTGACAGCAACTGGGCACCCTGAAAAGCTTTGGAGGCAATAATCAATCCTATCCCTCAGTGTCTCCATAAAATAGGAAAGTTAAATCATTTACCAAAGATCTCAGTGGGAATAAGTACATGGTCAGGCATAGATACATGGATTTAATTTACTTCTCTCTTGTATTAGCAGTGGTGATTACCATTGTACACAGAAAGGATCAAAGTGTTTTCTGATTCCCAGGACTCAGCCAGAAGAATCACAGCACCATTTACCACCCAAACAGTAATTATTTATGCTACCAGTGAATTAAAAAAAAAAAAAAAAAAAAGGGGAAAAAGAGGATAAAAAAACCCCCACCAATTTTCTGTGTGTAGCTCAGGTCTCCTATCTGCATTTTAGGGCAAGGCAAAGGCAGCCAGGCTGGTTCTCTTTATTACCCTGTGGGCAGTTTTGAATTTCACTGAGGAAGGGGGTGGTAAGGGAAGGGAGAGTGGCAAAAATTAGATCTGAAGGAGGTCAACTCTATCCACTTAACTGCTATTGACCCAGTTGTAACCAGAGCTGAGCCCAACCTGGGTATTGGAATTCCTCTGGCCACATGTCTGACAATGTGCAGGGCCCCTAAATCCCTGTAGCACAGGGAAGTCTCCACAGCCTGAAAAACACCACAGATACTACTTGTCTCATAGCAGCTTGGGGCTGTGAGTAATAAGAAAGAGAACCTGGGGTAAATTTTACAGAGGGATTAAGAGGAAGAAGGTACTTTCTTCACTCTTGCTGGGTAAAATGTGGAAAGCCCCAGGGAATTACTGCTCTGTGTTTCAGTTGATGTACTAAAAACCCCAAACCATTCTGAGAAAGTATCTTTAGTTATGAAAATCTTGTGCTTTAGTCTGATTCCCCAGTTCCTGAAAAGTTCCCCAACTTGCTGCTTGTTTTACACCATTTTAAGGCTGTAAAAGTAGAAAAGTATAATGGAGCATCAGGCCCCTATTTCTCTCCAGACTCCTGAGTACACTTTCCTCATGCAAATGCATGAAAAAGAAACCAAACACTCCAAACCTTAGTATGAAAAAAAATGTGTTAATTTTAATAACTTACAGCGTAACTCATACCCTAGTGCAGTAGCTATACTGCTAGAAAGTAAGCACCAAAAATATGCAACCCAAAAATATGTCTATTAAAATAAAATAATAATAATAATAATAAAGCCTTGGCTTACATTAGTTATAGGTTTGGCTGAAAAGCTGAGCCTTGGACTGTATGAGCTGGCTCTGGCTCTGCTGGTCCACAGAACGACTGGATTCATTACTTGGGAAACCTTCATGGAGGGCACGCTGCCTCAAATCTCAGGGAGCAAAGTCAATGAATAAGAATGGACACGGGCTAATTCAAACCCTTCTCCCACCTTTCAAATCAAGTTAGTGATTTCTCTTTTCTTCATGGTTCCCAGCCAATTGTCATTTTCAGTGCATCCTATCGCCCCGCAGTACAAACTGTTCTGGGAATACACTTCATTCCTCCAGCAGTCTCTCAGCAGTGCCAAGGAATGTAGCTCTTCTGGTTACAATTAAGAAATTCAACACACAAATGCTCCCTAAGTGCACCAGAACCTGCTCATGACCTTCACGCAACCCAATCCAAAGGAGTCAAAGCAATTTTTTGTTCTTTGGTTCCATAAAGAGTGGAAGGGAGGGAAGGGGAGGGAAACCCCCATCCCTCCAGAGAGGCACTGTGGTTTCAGGGGTCACTTGCGCAGGAGCTGGCACAGGGAAGTGCAGTTTCTAGGGCTGCATTCCCACAAGGAGCTGTGGGCTGAGGCATGCCTGTTGGGTAGGCAGGTTGAATTCCCACCACCTCATGGCAGAAAGCGTGCTGGCAGCGATGGAGCCTCCCTGCCTGCTGCCAGGCTCTCCTGGGGACTTCTGGTCCCCAGAGCCACCGCGAAGCAGCTGTGTAGAGCTGCCTCGTGTGCCTCAGCTCCATCCCCATGGACTCTCTCTCTCTGTCTGAACTCTTTTGGGGCTTCTGCCCCAAACTCCACCACTGCCTTTTATCATCTCAACCAGGATTGTGTCCAGGTGCGGCAGATTAAGAAGCTATTACAGAATAGCTCTATAGTATCTATTTATAAATATACTGTCTATTTAAGCAAAAAAACAAATACTTTTTGATTGTGAGCACGAACGTATTAGATGCTTTTGAGGTTCTCCCCCTGCTTCTCTTCAGCCTCTCAATTTTCAGCCATAAACCAGCTTTAAAACATTTTTTCCCCTAAAATTCAGGATTATGCTCTTGCCCAAGACAAGATCTCTATTTGTGTTTTCCAGATGGTTGGAGATGGCGAAGGAATAGCGTGGAAAGTCCTTGATGTGGAATCTCATTATCCAAAAGAACTTGGGGGGTCTCTGGAGTTGTCCAACAACACCTTCTTTTCACTGAGGATCAAAAATGCGACAAGCCAAAACAGTGGGACATACAAGTGCATTTTGGGGGAACGGAGCGGGGAACACAATTTGAGCAGCACAGTCACATTAAAAGTAACAGGTACAGTAGAGACACAACTGTCCCATGCTCCATGTGGCATTTCCTCAAGATAACAGTTTAAAAATATTTTACAAACACCTGAAAAATGTAACACCTTGCTTTACATTTTTAGGTTGCCCTGGGGTAGAAGATGAAAAATTAAAAAAATATAAAGCTGAGCTTTTCATGCTGACTTGCCTTGGGATTTTTTACTTGCTGCTCATCTTTTTCACCTGTGTAAGTAATTCAGTTTCTCATAAATGAACCAACCAAAACCAACAAAAAAACCCCTAAACCCCACTCATTTTCTTTGCTAGCACCACCTTAACACAGCCAGTCAGAAGTTGGTATTCATACTTCATTTATGATCAAATCCTTTAAATATTCACACAGTATTTTCAAAGCCAGAGGAAACTCGGGTGCAGGAAGAACAGAGGATGGAGTCCCAAAGAGATAAAACATTTCAGTTGTGATAGTTTTAACTGCACCCTGATCTAACTCAAACCAGACAGTTATTTTCCTGCACCCCACTGTCCATTTCTTCTTCCAGTTACTCTAAGTGCAAGCTACTCTTCAATTTGAGAGCACATCAATAGCTCTTCTGGTTTGGTTCTTGGGAACAGCATTTGCCCAGGATGGAGGCACAGGCCCCTGGGATCCCTTCCCCCACCTATTGCACGATGGACAACTTCAAGCCCACCTATTTTTTTGCCTCAGTTTCCATACCTGTATATTGGCGATAACCCCATTTCAGATGATCATTTTTGTGAAGCTCCATCTTTCTTGGTAAACAGATCCTTGATAAAGAACCTCCTGGGGGATTTATTGGTACCTTTAATACTGGCAGGTAGTTCTGAGAAAGGTGAGGAGAGGAGGTATTTGGGAAGCTCAGTTCACAGAAGCAAAACTGTTTTGTCTGTGGTAGCAGTGAAGTCACCCCCTCACGCAGAAGAGCCAGGAGGTCTGTGCCTTCTGGCTTAAAGGCAGCGTGAGCCTCAGGTCTTGGTACAGTGCAATACCGGCTGCATTTCTAATTAAAAACAAAATCAACCGTAGCACTTTGGGAGGTCAAATTTAACTTCTGCTGCCTATTTAATGTTTGCCTTCTTGTTTTGCTCCTGAGCAAAATTGGAGACTATCTAATTAGCTGCAACTAAATGTAGCTTTTCATGTATCTTCAGGGAGCAATTAAATTTATGCCTGTCTCTTTTTTAGACTGACAATCCTGCCAGTAATTTGTGCCATTCAGACTAAAGTTTGACAAGATAAATCTTGTAGGAATTTGTTAGGATGAAAGTATGAAAGCAAGGCTACCACTCAGAAGAGAGATGCCCCTATTCTGCTCAGTGTCCTGAAAGAATTTCAGATCTCTAGAGAAACCCCTCCTTCCCGTATGTGAAAAACATCCCAGTTTTACTGGTGCAGTTGTAGTGAAGATAACCACTCTGGTAGAATTATGTGTATCTTGCTCTTGGGTGAGGTCCAGCCTCAGGTATCAACCTAGCTTTCATCAAAATTTAATATTGTCCTGATCTCACAAGTGAGCTTTATTATTTAAAATGCCTGTTAAGTTCTCACAGGTTGCCTTGTCCTCCCCTTTAGTGGAGATTGTGCCTTATCTCCAGTAAACTCAACAGTGACATTAAGTTTAAGACTGGTTGTCAGGACTGGGGCTTTACTTTGACAACTTGATGAAAATATTTCAGGCACTGGCCTGTATTGAAGGCAGGTGGAAACACACTTGCAAGAGCTGTTCATATGAAAACTTGAATTAAATAGAAATTCCCTTTTGTGATTAAAACTTTTGTCCTATAAAGCTCCTTGACTGAGCAAGAAACAGCAGCTTTTCTTTGTATTGGGTGCTTCTGGCAACAGCTTTCTTTTCTGTTTTCTCTTTTAGACATGTCTAAGAAGAGAGAGTATGTCTCTCAATCATAAAAAAACTAGACCAGATATGAAACACATGCTCACCCTCATCAATGTACATGAAATGACAACTTTCCAGGATTCAAGCAGCAACGGCACTTGCAAAAATGAACTTTCTTCAAGTTCTGTCTAAGTTGATGTTGATGGCAGCATGGGCTCATCAGTAAACATGACACAAGCTGGATGGCCACGTGGTACGGTGTCCTGGTGGTATGGAGAGGGAATAAATGCTGATATATGGCCTCTTCAGAACAGCCTGAAAATACAGGTCAGCGATCTGCTTGCGCTGGACAAGCCCTTGAAAAGCACCGTCATGCACTACAGTAACTTTTGGTAGTTAGGTGGCTGAGAAATTACAGCTACACAACAGTGTTACAATGCTGTTATGACGTTGGCATCAACTTTTTTCACTCTGCAGTGCACCCCTCTTGTTCTAAGCAAGAGCACACCTGTGATACCAAGGTCAGGTTATAGGGAGGCCACGGCAGCACAAAGCTGGGTGATGAAGCTCTTCACTGAACTAAGAGCCCTCCTCTTAGTTCCACCTCCACAACCAGTGCTGTGGGATGGAAAGATAAGTGTGTGGGGCTGTCTCTGCTCTGTGTCCCGAGCCTGATGCTTTACTACAAACAAGATACAACTTGTCATGCAACGTTCAAATAAGCTGGAGAGGTAACTTCATGTTCTTGTCCTGGGTGAATCAAATCAACATTAATTTTTAAATCCAAGAGTGGCAGACAGGATGAAATGTAAGAAGGGAGAAGACATTCTAGAAATCTTTCTGGACAGAGAGGAACTTTCTATCTCTGCAAGAGACGAAGGATGTATTTGCATAATGGGTCCATCAGTTATTTCTCAGAAGCATCTCCATAGGAATCCATAGGAAGTTCCAATGAGACTGTTGACCTTAAAGCAATGAAAGTAAGAATGAAGCAGCCTGTGATATTAAGAGCTTGTAAAGATGACTTATTTTGTGGTTTATAAAACATGAAGCCAAATATATGCAACACTCATGGCAGCCAAGTTACACAAGTGATGACCAAAGCCATGGCTTGGAAGAAATCAACCATCCTTATCTTTGGGATGTACTAAGCCAGCTGTGAGGTATAGGAGTGGAAGATGAGACATATGAACACCTGCTTTTGGTGCCAACAGTGTGTAGTATATGTGAGATGAGGACATGAGAAACTCAGGCACACAATATAAGGGAGAGAAGGTTTGTCCTATTGGACCAAAGACAGGAAGAGAGGTTTGGGAATCTGAAATCAAGGAGAACCTCCCTTATCAGACTGCTAGTGCAGAAGGTGAAGAAAAAGGAGTCTAAATCAGCTGTGGGTGTTTATGCCACAACATGAGAATTTGAGTCAAGACATGAGAATTTGCAAGCACTTAAGAACGTGATCTTAAAAAAAAAGACCAAACCAATCCTTCAAGAGTTGAACTGCAACATTAAGCTTTTTAATGCTGTTTGTAATTCCAGGATGAAGGATGTGACAAGGATGCTCTTTCTGTAATCCTTTGTTTAATTTTGAAGCACTGATGGGGGAAAGCACTGTGCATCACTCAGTAGTGCCTCTGTGAGCAGGGTAGATGTCTCCATTGATGGAGTCCAAGGGGCTTCTGACCCAAAGAAGAATGGTTACAAAGGATATGAGATTTACTTAGAGCATGGTAAATTAATGCCACATTTGCTTTTTTATAATCAATTTTTACATATCAGTGTGTGTAACATACTTGAAATAAAAATTCTGAGTTAACCTACCATTTGCTTTTGTGTGCCACATATGGCAAATAAACCCAGAAATACTCCGTATCAATTGCATTTTATTTTACAACCAACATAATTACATCAAATAATGCAGATGCCTGATCCAGCCTCTTCTGCAGGACAGGGCATGTATGTGTGTATAATTGATTAAGCAATGGATAATTTTATGCATTTCTAAGGAACTCAGACAATTTAAGTCTTCCTCAAAATTTCACTTTCTGTTCAAAGTATATTCTAAAACACCTGTTCCCCACTGGCAGGCAAGTAATTAATGCGAACATAAGGGTGTTTCAGTCTACCTGTGATCACTTTTAAACATGGTGCACCAGAACATGAACTAAATGTGCATGTACAATAACTGACCTTGGGTACATGGAGTTTCTCCATTTGGTCAAAAAGGCTTAATAGCTGATAGCCTTAATTTTTTATTTTGTTATTATTATATTTTTTTTTAGGAGGGCAGTGATTTTCAGTGGTTTTTTTCCCCTCTGTAACTTGCATTTTTCTATTGTTTTGTCCAAAGGTGAACCACCTGCATTCAAAGATAACAATAAGCATTATACATAAAATTACTCATAAAGAGCGAGTTTGTATATGCCTGTGATTAAGGAATATACAGAAAAACAACGCACCACACAGGGAAATTACCCCAAAGAGAAATCACAACAATCATTCACTGGAGCTAAATGAATATCCAAAATGACAATGAGAGGAAGGTAAAGGACATGATCCACAGAATGCTGATGATATGAGTTACAGCCCTTAGCTCAGCCTGATTTGTGCTGCTAACACTCACACAGCAGACAACCCAGGCTGATGGTGACCTTGACAGCATTGCAACAGCACTATTTCCTGTAAAGGCTGGATGGGTTTCAACCTATTCCTCCTGAGCAGGAGCTACAAGCTTAGATTCAACAACGTGGACCAAAGTAATCCTTGGTATATGCCTGTGAATGATACCAACAGAATATGGCTCTTTGGGCATGCCCACTGCCTTGCTTCCTTCTGTCTTCTGCCCTTTGTGAGAGTACTTTGGAAAGCATAAAGCACATTGCCCCAGCACACACGTTCCTTTTCTGTCCCCTTTCAGCAGTGATGTAGCACAGAGGTGATCTGGTTCCAAGTCCGCTGGGCAACTGCAAGTACTTAGTGACCTTCTCAACCAATACCTCTGCCCCTTGGGAACTGCAATTGATTTTTCTCATCTCTGTATGCAAAGACAATGCTCTAATACCGTGTCACAGATACGTAGTTAAATTGGAAGTGCTCTCCCTCTTTTTTAAGTAAATAACAGCAAATGTGGAACAAACCACCAGGGAGATTAAAGAATTACAAATAAATGCAATACCAAATTTTTCGGTGGATGGTCTGTTCTCTCTTCACTTGGCTGCCAAGCCTGTTTGCAGAACTCTGCTTTTTGCTGACTACAGCCGATATTACTTGTGTGTAAAGCTGCGAGAAGAGTGCTGTTAACTCTCCAGAGCGGTGACATAGATCCTGAAACATCCACTGAGGAAATGGGTGGTGGCAAGACTGACAGGGGTTGCTGCAAGGAGCAGGGGGTCCTTTGAAGGCTTCACTTTACATCCAAACCATACAAGTCTTCCCACCCTTTGATGGAAAGGCTTGCTACATCCCTGCAGCTGAGTTACAAGTGCATATGTTGCACTGCAAACGGGCAGCCTGGGCTGATTTTAAGTGTTTGCTCCTGTTAGAAGACAGATGTTACAGCCAGTGCAAAAAAAAAAAAAAAAAAGCCCAAACCCAACCTAAACCAATAAACCTAACCCCATGAACAGACTGAAAGTAAGGGGCAACAACTAAGAGACGGGTCAGGTCCGAAGGGAAACACAGATTTCACAAGCCCTGTGCAAATATGGGCTTTGCAGAGTCTTAGTTGCTTCTGTGAAAGGATTAAGAACATGCTGTAGTGGCTGGGTTTTTTTTTTGTTTGTTTGATTGTTTTTAAAGACATTTGCACTGCATGCCTCAGTTTCCCTATCTATAAATGGAAGCAAATGAGTTCAAGTGTTGACTTGTGCAAGAGACAGTGAAGCTGTCAATATTTATACCTTTTTGCCTACTTGGAGCTGAAAGGAACTTTTTACCCAAGTTGTCCTTCAGGTGGGAGGAGGCTTGAACTGCTGGACACCAATGTTAAGGGCAAAAGGCCCTGCTGACAAGAGAAACTGAATTAATGAGAATTAGTAAGAAGAAAAATACAGGAGTCTTCAAATGCTGGGGTCTATACCAAGCACCTGTAGCACAAATGTGTGACAGTTCCCACCCACTCCCTTTTGCTATTTTCATCCCCTCTGAATTCCAGCTCTGCCAATTCACTCTCACATCTGTTCTCAGACTTGGTATCAACACTAATTTAATCACATTCCTTCCATCTACTGAGCTGGAAGTGCAGGGTTATGTACAAGCCAGGAGAAATTAACCCCTTCCCTTCATTAGCACCAGCTAGCCCAACTCTCTTGCAATGGGGTTGGTGGTGTTCAGGTGGGCAGCCAAGTGATGGGGCTGCACCAGCTCCCCAATGGAGACTGTGCTGAGCTCATTGCTGCCAAATAACCTGGCAGGTACCTACTGAACACAAGGGGTCTGGAAAGCGATGTGAATAGGAATATGGCCAGCAGATGAAGCAGATCCCCTTCCTCAACACTCCTTACACCACACCTAGATACATTGTCCAGTTCTGGGCCCCCAAAACTGCCCCCAAGGCAGTCAGGGCTGGAGTGCTTGCCCTGTGAGGGGAGACCATGGAAACTAATCAGAGGGCTGGAGCACCTCTTCTGTGAGGACAGGCTGAGAGTTGGGGCTGTTCAGCCTGGAGAAGAGAAGGCTCCAAGGGGACCATCTAACAACCTACCAGTACCTAAAGGGGCTGCAGGAAGGCTGGTGAGGGACTTTTGACAAGGGCAGGGAGCGATAGGACGAGGGGAAATGGCTTTAAACTGGACAAGGGTAGGCTTAGACTAGAGATAAGGAAGAAATTTTTTACACTGAGGGTGGTGAAACCCTGGCTCAGGTTGCCCAGAGAGGTGGTAGAAGCCCCATCCCTGGAAACATCCAAGGTCAGGTCAAATGAGGCTCTGAGCACCCTGATCTGGTTGCAGATGTCCCTGCTCACTGCAGGGGAATTGGACTAGATGCCCTTGGAAGGTCCCTTCCAACCCAAACCATTCTATGATTCATCCTTGGGCTTGCAACTGTGCCCTTAACTTACTAAAATTGCAATCTCAGTTCAGGTGCTGGGACCCTTCTGCTAGGCTGCAGGACACTGGTCCTGAGGATGTGTCCAGCTAAGCCCCTCTAGACCTGCATTTCACAGGACCTAAGTTACTGAGGTACTCCTTATC